CCTTTGCAATTCTATTGCACGTTTCATTTACGTCAGTCAATCATTCACAGCGACCAAAACTGTACTGACCTCTGTTTGACAAGATTCCCCTAACAGATCCATCGACAAGTAGTCGACATATTATTTCTGGATTCATCTAGTAGAAATATGAAAATGAACCGGACCCTAGGAAGTTTAAGGCTGCGAGCGTGGCAGTCCTGGCACGCCAGTTCTTCCCACCACAAATAGACATCGTACACTAGATCCGCGCGTCGAATCTGCGGCGAACTATTTTCGAAACTTGGCCAAACGCGGCAAGTTTGCCCAGCCGGCAACCGCCTGCGCGTCCAGTTCCAGTCATTCGAGCTTTGCCACGCCAATTTCGCGATATCTTGCTTCGTCAGTTTACGGGTGAACGTCCACTTTGAACCGTCCGTAACCTTTGAAACAGGATCTAAAGTTAGAGTCGTCTAAACGAGGTCGAATCGGTGCACAGTTTCAGGTGGTTACGAGGGGAAGCTTTTTCTTCAACGTAGCAATTTTTTATTCGCGAGCTTTTATGAATTTTTTTATGAATTTTTGATTCTTCGAGTGGGGTGTGAATATTTCTCGCGATGGATTTGGTGACGTTTCTTGGCGAACTGGGGAGATTTTATCGATGGTAAGTGTGTGCGTATGTGTATGAATGGTCTTTTTTTAAATGAAAGGGGAATTTGGCAAAGATAATTTTAGTTTTTAGTTCAGAGCAGGCGGGATTCATTTTCTTAATATATTTTAGACCTGATCTGAACACTTGTCTAACAAATCTTTACATAATTTGAGTAACTTCATGTTTTCTGAATTAATTAATAATGAAATAAATGTCCTCCACGAGGAGGTTGAAATTCAAACCTAAAAAAGAGGTGAAAGAAATGTTGAAGAATAAAGAAGTACGTCTCCATTTCGGCAGAGTTATACACAAGGAGCGTATCGAGTCGAGCGTAATGCATAAATGTGAAGGTAAATAAACATCCACGGTGCAAATGCATATATGCTGTTGGCAACCTAGCATCGGTAACGAAAGCTTTAAAACGCGTTCAATATTTTCGTCCGAAGGAATGTCAAATAATCGATAACCGATTTTATTTTCCAAACAATTTAGAACCACGAAAATGAAATATCAATTCGCGATTAAGTATCGTTTAGCGTGTAGTATTTTTTAATTTTATTCCAACGTCGAAGAAACCCGAGAATCGAGTAATTTTCTTAAAATTTGTTTGTCCGCGATGCCAAGAAAAGCTTTGTTTTCACAACGGCCCCCACCCGTGCGTGTATCGTTTGCTCTTTCGAAGCATTGAAACCGCAGATGTCCCTCGTGTGATTTCTTAGAGAACGTTCGACTACGAAAATGTATTTTGAAACTCAAAGCAGTTTCGACACAGGGTTGAAATGTTGACGTTGCGCATAATTTATTAAGGTTCCTCAAAGCTCGATGAATTTCGACAGAAGATCGAAGTCAAAGCAAACTCCTCGCGATGTTATATGAAGAATTTTTGAAGTCTCTTGAATTTTAAGAGACTTTTTGTTTCCCATTTATTCTATATTTTTCGTATTTTCCTGCAAGAAGGAATTTCTCCAATAAAATTACTCCCATTAATTAATTAGTAATTGTTCGATGGTTAATGACTGGAATCGTGGCACCATTTTCCATCGAATGGATCGTTCATCAACCCGGACGCTGAAATACCGAGATAATTAAATCAGCCCGTCGGAAAAGCTAGCGAAAACAAAAACATTTCGTTAGCCACGGGTCGAAGCTTTTTCCCCGAGCTTTTGACAGACGTAGCAAGGGGTCAGTGACGTATTAAAGTATCTAGACGTTTCAACGAAATGAGAATTTGTCCAGCTACTGGACACTCGAACCTTTGTCGCAAATCTTCAAACAACTCCACTGTTGATGCCATTGAATCAATATCGTCGTTACATTAAATTTCTCTTAAAAACTATAGTAAGTCCGAAGTCAGTTGGCCGCTCAAGGTCACCCAGGCGTCACCCCTCTCCCTTATTTCGTTGGCCTCGCCCCCCGACACCTCGCCTGCTCGCAGAAAGCCCCAAGCCAGCCGAATTATTTCGAGCCGTTCGTATAATTGAACCTCTCGAAACTTTTTCGAAGCACTTGAAACGCTCGAGCACGCGGCTTAACCCGGTTTTTTTATCCGAGCCCCTCGCTCGGCTCTCCATCCTTCGGGGCAATCCGCACCTGTATCGTGTTCGCGCGATTAAACGGGGTGGGGCCTGGTTCTCCGGGCGTCGCGCGAAAACCAGACGCCCGCTTGCGTCACGTCGGATTATTTTCAGGCGATTTAAAAACGCTTGACAGATTGCGCTGCAGCGCGAAGAAAACACGCCGCGTCGCGATGAACAAAAAAGAAGAACATTCAGCAATCCTCTTCCACGGGTAAATATTCCCCTCGAAACGTTTTATCGAACTGCTCGTTTGTTAATCATTTCGATGTTCCTGGCGCACGTGATGAGACGCAGGAAAGTCGATATCGATTGGAATACACTTCGTGATTACTTGCGATCCCACGATTACGATGTTTGCGTTACATAGGAATCGTGACGGGTTCACAAAATAAAATTGATACAGCCACAAGACCTTGTTATGCTTTCGTCGCAATCTTTCTGATCCTTGTGACTATTGTGATCCCACGATTGCGACGGTTTCGTTACACAAAAATTGCGATCGATACAAAGCGTGACGTTTTCACAAACTAAAAATGGCGATATAACCCAGAAACATTGCGATGTTTCCATCGCAATAATGACAGCTTCCAAACGGGAGGATCAAAATCCTGGAACTGACCACGCAATGCAGTATGCCAAAACGTCGTGAATAATCCAGACTGCCGAGGAACCACCCTAACAGTTTCGTTCCAAGACCCCCGTGGCGTCGCTCACCAGGAATCCATTCGAGCCACCTCCGACATTTCCGTCTGTACACGTGACGAAAGAATCTTCCTCGAAGCGAGACCCGGCACGCCAAACCAGCCACTACAAAAGATTTAAATAGTCGCGCGCGCGGGCGAGAAAGAAGGCGGCGGTTCGAAAGGAGAGGGACGCCAGGCGTCGGCGGTGTTGTGGCCATCCACCAACTAGTTTTCACCGACGACTCAAAACGATCGGCATGCCCCGGCGTCACAACGTGTTCAGATCAGGGAAAGTCATCGTTGCGACGTACTTTGCTGTCGACGAGGGACTTCTCTATTGCCCGAGTGTTCGAGATTTACTTTGCGATGATTGTGACAAGTTGTGATGAATCTACTGCGAGGCAACGACATTTGTGGCGGTTGTAGCATTAGCAAAAGACTGTTGCAACGATTTTAATATACCCAAGGGTGTCCTTCGACGATTTGTGATGATCGCAGCACAGATAAGAAGCCTTGCGAGAGTTCTATAGTCCGTGAAATCCTCTTGCGGTGATCGCAGTCTCAATCGTCAACTGTCAACATCGAAAAATAAAAGGATCAGCAAGCCACGCTAGCATTCCGAGTCGGAAACTAGTGAGCAAACTCTCCCAGAAGTTAAAGTGCAAACACCCCTCAGCGGTTCGGTACTGAGACGAACTAATAGCGCGACGTTCGCCCCTGACGCCGTTCACCAGGCGCGGAGAGATTTAGAGCAAGGACGCGGCGTCATTAAGTAACTCTGTTTCGACGTCGAGCGAAATGAATGGGTTGCACGTTGCGGGAGATCGCCGATCCATCAGACGAAACTGCATATTCCACGTCCGTGGAATTCGTGGCGGCGATGACGTACAGCCGCGCCATCTCGCGGACCCTGTTCGTCGACGGAATCCCCGCGCACGTAATTTAAACTCGTCGGACGCGGAACAGCGAGCGTTCAACGTGTTCTGAAACGTGACATCGTCAGCTGGGAAGCGAATATTATTTTCGGTGAAAGTAAATATTGATTCGGAGGTGGTTGAATCGCTCCATTGTTAGGGCGGCGATGGTCAGCAGCGACGGGTGCGCATCGGCGCGCCATCTCGCGGACCCTACACGCGAACTCTGAGCTCTCGTAGTGCTTGTTTAACGACTCTCGTGCTGGAACGACTCGCCGAATCGGATGTGAACCAAGAGTCGTGAGCGGAGAGATGGACAGACGGAGGCTGCCACTATGCACAGAAGAGAAAGGGGAAGAAGCAGGCACGATGAAAAAGGGAGTACGTTCCAGAATATTCTATCGCTGAGATTTCGGGTATCGAATGGGAGGAGGTAGCGACACTTCAAAGGAGTCTAAAAAATTGAACGTGTCCGGTTGGAGCAGAAATTCTCCTCTCACGGAAATTTCAATTCTACTTTAACCCTTCGGTTAAATAATTAAAAAATCTCCGCCATCTCCTCCTAAAAAAGTAACCTTTTTCCTCTAACGAATCTCGGATATCTGTCACGTTCTTCTCTCAAAAGACCCCCGTCGGTTAGGCTCGTTTTTCCCGCGGGCGGTTTTTCCACGAGAGAAGAAACTGGCCGCAACGCGGAAAACCGTCCGAACTAATTCGGAAAAGCTGCGGGATACGCTTGAAAGTGCAAGAAACTGGCTTTCATGCTCGGCCTAACGGTGCTTGCCTCGCGAAGACGCTTTATGGAAAAAGTTTTTAATATTCTCTCTGCTTCGCTCTCGCCCCGCCCTTTCTCCGCCCCGCACTCCCCTCCTCCACTCACTCCAGCCCCCTCTTCTCGGCGTTGGCTCGCGAAAAAACGAGGACGCGATAATGACCA